TTGCTTAAGATGACCACGAAAGATTCCGATCACGGCGTCCACAGGAGAATTTAGTTCAATGACTTTCCTTACCATGGTGTCGAAGTTGATAATTAAAAGTATTAAGGCAATTTAGTAAGGAATCACCCCCCAAGCGTTTACCTACGAGCATGACTGTGGACGGATGATCATGACATGCAAACGACTCGCTCTCAGACGAGAGAGAGGATGAGGATTCAGGAAGTGGCGAGCCCAGTAGGAGAAGGAGATCACTGAAACATCTTTTTGAACTGGTTGAAATTTCAAGCAGCTAAATTTGACGTTCATTTTCAAAGCCTGATCTGCATGAAGATTGAACAGGGCTTCGTACAACTCACTTACTCGGTCGCTCCCTGGACTATCGGTTTTTGCTGTTATCATTGCCCTCTTCGTTTGCCGTTATCTAACTATCGTGTTAACGGTGGCTGACGAAACCCAAACATGACTGCACCAGTGTTCCCTCAACATCTTGGGCGCGAAGGCTATACCTCACAGAGGGATCAGCGCAGGCATCTATTGACATATTCATCCTTGAAGTGGTAGGTTTATGGGGGTCTTCCTCGCAGGTTTTTGCGCCCGCATGCCAGAAGTTTGCTTAATCAATACCTCTCCGATCCTCAGCGTGGTTTTTGACAAAAAAATAATGGCCATGGTACGGCGATATGGACCTCTCGTATTCTTGATGGCACTGCGCCGAAGTCCACGGCTTGGAGCCAGTGTTAAGTGAGCTAGGGTAATGAGGGTAAGTGGAGGGTTAGGCCGGTCAGGATTAAAATTAGGACAGCGGTCTGGGTACCCCTTGGATTTAACGCAAGGCCACCTGTGGTGCGGGAATACATACTTCCTTGTCTGACCGAATGATGTTCGCCACGCAAGAGTCACGACCTTGAGTGCGAAATTGAAATTCGGGCGGTTCCAGCCTAGCTACCTCGCGGGTATCGAAATAGCCTCATTACCCTAGCCCTCCTACTACCCTGGAATACAGACGGACCATGTTCCCGCACCATAGCGTTTAAATTTGGCATTAGAGTTAGGGTTTATGATCAGGGTTTACTGTTAGTGTTCGTGGTTAGGGAGTCATTCTCCATCCAATTCCTACAACTTTCATCTGTGGCTCACGTTTGATTGGCCACATTCTTGGGCGGCTCAGTTTCATTTACCTAGACGGGCCAATCACCTTTGTTCTTCTTAGAACTGGTCTTTCTGGTCACCTGTGAGGGCTTTCGTAAATATGCTAAAACAAATTAGCATATTTACCTGTAATACCTGCGTTTTCCCCTAGTTTTAGCTTATATTTCACTGCTTCCCCGCGGCCCAACGCGTAAAACTCCTCTTATCACGGTTCCCATATTGGATGCGTCTGGGTTTCCCCATTTCCCCGCGGGACCAGGTTTTGCCCTAAACCTTAAATCCTCACCGTAAAACCTGAACCCCAACTAAGTGTAAATCACGATAGCAACAGTCCACGAAGTGCCTCAAATTGAGAGAGTCCGCAAGTTGTAATACGCCTGCTGAAATCAATAACAGTACGAAAGTGGTACTTTGTTGGCCAATCAGGACAGCGTTTCCGAGCCCAACCGAAAGTATTTTTGGATGATCAAAATTGTCAGATCCTGTTATTTCTAGGCTCCACCTAAATTGCCCCTTCACATTCTACCGTCCGCAGAAACTCGAACAGTCTGAGGCCTGCATCTGCTGTTGCAAATTATCCTCTCCATCTACACTGCCTTTCTTGATAAAGATTCAGGATTGCCGATGCCAGTCGC